AGGCCCTCCTCCCTCAGATCCTCAGATCTAGGACCCCAGCTCACCAGCACCGGCTCAGGTGCTGGGTACCGGAGGGTCCTGGCTGGAGATGTCAGTTCCGGGGACCTGTGAACGCGGAGGGCTTTGTGCCACTCCTGAGAACAAGGTGCGGGAGTAGGGCCTCCCCCCACCCCAAAGGACTCTCAGAATTCAGGGCCGGGGGCGGCAAGCTGTTCCTGGGTGGGCTTCTTAGGATCTCAAAAGCAACAACAAAAAATCAGCCCCACGTCAAAGAAACACCTGCCTGAGGCTGGCTCTGTCCACTCCATCTCCGCTTCCCGGGATCAGGCGCGGTGGAGGGAGGGTGGCCAGCGTCCCCTCCCCCGCCCTGGACCGGAGGGGGATGGAGGGAGAGCGCCCTACTGCGCATGCTTCGCCGCGGGGCGATGCGGAGGCGAGCGTTGGGGGACAGGTAATGGGAGAGGTGGGTCCAGGCCTCAGCCCCCTCAGGGGCGACTTACCACGCTGAGCCAGGGGCCCCCGATCGGGTATCAGGGTGACCGTCCCCCCAGCAGCCCGATTTAAGGCGCTGCTCCCCAACCCACTCGCCTGTCCAGTCCTAGTGCGAAGCCCACGATCTGGCCCACGGGGTCCCCCGGGGCTTCTTGGCCCACCTCGTCTTCCCAGGCACCCCGATTTCTGTCTCGCGGGTGCTGAGCCGAGAATTCAAGCCCCCGGTGGTCTGGCTTTGCAATGGGGCGTCCTCTCCCCGCCCCTGCCCTATCCCCGCCCCCTCCCGATTCCAGCGGCCAATCCCCGCCCTCCGGTCCGGAGCTTTCCGGTGAGCCTGCACTGTTGGGGGCCCCCATTATGCTTGAGGGACAGGCTTCGGTGGGCCCCGCGGGGCACGTGACCTCGCAGAACAGAGGCGTGTAGATGAGGACCAAGAGGGCTTATTAGGGGCAGGGGCGCGTGGGTTGGGCGGTTTACAGGGACTGAGGCCCATCACTTCACGCGCTGCACCTAAGGAATTGCCTGTCCTGCGTGAGTGCCCCGTGGGCCTGGTTCCGGGGCAGTCTGGAAGTGGATGGGAAGATGGGGGGCTTCAGATCCTTCTCTGCTGCGCCTACTGCAGTTAGAGGCCCGGGTGGCAAGGCCAGACCTGGGGAGCTAGACCTGCTGGGCCAGTGGGACCATTTCAGACCACATACCCACTCTGCAGAGCACACTTCTGGCCCCCTTGGTGCCATGTCTTCCTCAGCAGGGCTGGGGTGCCCCAAGGCCATGTGGGTCACAGAGGGCAGACCCCTCCATCCTTCCCTGAGAACCCCACTCCCAACAATCCACCTGCTACAGGTCAGCTGTTAGTCCAGGTGTGGCGTTGAGGGAAGCAGGTCCCTGTAGGTGCAGTGGGTTCCCAGCTAAGTGTCTGCACCCCATGCGCCCTGCCCCCAGCTCAGACCTAGAGTCTCAAGGGCCAGAAGTTTCCAGAAGGGGAGCCGGGCAGATGAGTCAAGGGACGTTACTTCCATGTGTAGGCAGGTGTGAGGGGCTCCTGTCTGGAGAGAACCCAGGAGGGCTGAGGGCAAGGCTGGTGGGACCTTTGTTTCCATCTTGGCCCAGAGGGCCATTTTCCCCAAGTTGAGACCCCCCCCAAAAAAAAGCCCTCCACAGAGGGAAGTTAGAGGCACGAGCCCAGCCTCCAGGCAGGCAGTGAGTGGCAGAATCCCTCTTCCCCCACACATGAATCTTATGTGGGTAACCCCACCACACACAGAAATCCTATGTCCCCAACACACGCACACACGGACACAAGCCCCCATTTCCCAGCTGCAGCCTGGCCAGCTCCAGAAGGGAAGGAACAGATTCCTTCTGGAACACTCCGGGCCCCTGCAGTGTAGCTGGAGGCTGAGCCCAGGCTGGTGGGGATGGTAAGGCCCTGGGGAGAGAAGAGAGGGTGGGGGGTGGGAATGGGCAGAGACCACTGGGACAGGGGAGACAGAACCAGGGGAGAGGGGGCCAGAGACCTGCATGGGCCAGCCCCCTTCAGCACCTGCACAGGAGCCCCACCCCCTCGGAAGCTGAGCCAAGTCCCAGCTGAGGATTTATTGGCGTTAAATGCAACCATATAAAAACATAAGTTATGAAAAACACAGTCACGATGTGGCCCCCCCACCCTGGCCCCAGCCCCCTTAGACACCCCCCCCACTTCATCGAGTGGGAGGGAGAGGAAGGGCGGGGGGCTCAGAACCCGCCAAAGCAGCCGGTTGGCTGCAGGCACCCTCAGCGCATCCGGTAGTCGGTGGAGCAGGACAGTTCACACAGCTGGCCCTTGAAGTCGAGGTCAATGGTGAAGTCCAGGTCTCGCTGCAAGAGAGGTGGGGTCAGGGCAGGTCACCAGGCGGGGCCACCCTCAGACCCAGCCAGAAGCACGCACTCCCTCAGCCCTAAGACTGCCGAACACAGGACCCTGCTTGTAGGCAACCAGGCCCTTCTTCCCACCCCAGCAGCGCCCTGAACCTGACTTCCCGGACACCCCTCGGACCCACGGACTCGCCGAGGCCTCAAGTGGCACACGGCGATTCCTTGTGTCCATAAAACAGGGCACCCCCCACCCCAGGCCACTCACGTTGTTCTTGGCGTTGGGCCGCATGCCGATGGTGCCGAAGACCTCTTCGCCCGTCTTCACCGTCAGGTAGTCCTCCATGTAGAACACGGTCTGCTTCCAGTGTGTGTAGGGCGATTCAGGGCCTGCAGGAGGGCGGGCAGGGCTCAGCAGTGGCCAGCCCGGCACCAGGACCTCCCAAGAACCCCCTAACCAGAGCGCCTCTGGCACGTCAGAGGTGAGCCCCGTTCCTCCTGGCTGATCCCCCCAACCCACTGGTGGCCAGGCCTCTCTTCCGAGGCACTTTGCATCATCCTCGTGGTTTGTACCACCCAGGAACCAAGAGCTCAGCCTCCAAACACGCGACGGGCCTGGGACGCAGGCGAGATGGCCCACACTGTGTTGTCAGAGGAAGCAGGGCCGGCTGGGCTGAGGCCCAACGTGGGGAGAAAACCCCGCCCCAGCGCCCCTCGCTCACTGGTGGAGAAGCCAGTCCGCTTGTGGCAGCGCGTGAACTCGATGTTGAAGTAGGCCACCAGAGCGTGGACGTAGTCATTTCGCTTCACTTGCAGGCAGAACGGGGAGGTGAAGGTCAGGTCCTCCACCTTGACCGTGTAGATGTCCACCTCCTGTGGGGCAGGCCCATCAGCACCTATGAGTCAGGCCCCCACCCACATCTCCTGCCCCATGACCCACTATTCTACCACTAGCACAGGCTGGTGCCAGGCCTCAGAGCTCCATTCTTTGACATCCCTACCTCACACCTAGCATCACCCACACTCTCTCCCCAAGCTGACTCCTTTCTTGCACCCCTTTCCACCTGCACGCCCCCCACCCCGCCCACGGGGGCTCCTGCTGCTGAATCTTTCTCTGGAGGGTTCCTCTTTCAGAAATGTGGTCCAGAATGGACCCCCCGCCCCCCGGGGGTCACAGCAGAGGGTGATTCCTCAGTGGTTCTTAGCCTCCTGCCTGGGGGGACAGGTTGGTCTAGAATTGGGCTCGTTGGGGTGGGGCTGGGCCTGGGCCTCTCTCACCCCGCAAAAGAAACCTCTCTCTGGGGGCCAGGCGGTGGCCACTATATCCGGCCCCCCCCTCACCTTGATGAGACAGGCGTTAGTGACCAGCTGTTTGGGGTCTACCACGTCCACCAGGGGCTCCTTGATGGCCACGTCCTTGATGCAGGACATGTCGAAGCCGTACACATTCTCCCACCCTGAGGAGGTAGGACGGAGCTAAGCTTGAGCCCGAGCTTGACCCCCCACCCCTTGATACCCCCGGGGCCGGGGCACTCACAGTGGATCTTGTAGTCCTTGTACTGCCGGTCCTCGATGGCAGTCACGTACAGCGTGGCTCGGTCGGGGAAGATGAGCCCGTCAGGCGCCTGTGGAGGGGGCAGGTCAGGGGATGAGGGTGGGCACCTTGGCAAGGGCCCCAGCTGAACCTCTCGTGGACTAGAGGCTCTGGCAGTCTGCTGCGGGGGCTCTTCACCCCAGGCCGATGCCCCTCACGGCCCTTAGGGGGCACCTGGGAACACGGAGGAGGCCATCTCTCCACGCTCTGAAAACCAAACTCACTGCCTGGAGGCCAAGCTGCGCAGGGCAGACCTGTCCCTGCGGGTGTCCAAGACTGGAACTCGACAGGCAGGCAGCCTGTCTCTCTGAGCGGCTGGTGGCTTTGAACTGCTGGCTTTGCGGTGAGCAGCCCGACGTGTAACCCCTGTGTAACCCTCTCACCCCCACAGCACAGCCCAGACCGGACCGGACCCCCCTATCCATCCCCTTGCCCCAAACTCAACTCTCCTGATACCGGCTGCTCATCCATTGCATCTCACGTGCCCCCCACTGTCCCACTGCCTACTCTGGTGGCTTGGGGCGTTAAACCGAAGCCTGCCTACCAAACCCCCAAAGCTGTCTGCTCCCCAAGTCACAGGTTCCTGGGCTTACCTGCCTCCTTGCCAGATAAAAACTTCTGGGCACACGCTCCATCCCCCATAAATATTGTCTGTGTCCACGATCCAGCCTCAGTATCACAGGGATCCGTCTCCACTGCCCTGCCCCCCCACCCTCCACCCCCCAGGTCGCTCACCAGCCACTTGTCGCGGGCGTAGAGCACAGTGTTGAGCATGGACTCGTAGAAGAGGCAGTACCCCATCCACTCGCTGATGATGATGTCCACCTTCTCCACAGGCAGCTCCACCTCCTCTACCTTGCCCTTGATGATGGTCACCACTGCGGGGGGCCAGGGCAATCAGTTGGCTTGGGCCCCGCCCCCTCACCCAGGGGTCCCTCATCCTGGAGAGGGGCTGCCCTTTGAGCACTGGGGAGTTCTACCTGTCCCCTAAGGGGCACCACGATTTGGAATATTTCAGTGGCTGGCCGAATGTATGGCTCTGTGGGAGCTGAGCATGAGTCCCGGGAGAGGACACTGACCCTGAGCAGCAAACCGCACTGGCCCATGGGCAGAAACCACCACTCCTTTCCTCAGAACCTGGAGGACGCTCCTTCCCCTGATGTGTAAGAGGGAAGTGCAACTTCCCAGTGGCCTTTTCCCACCTGGAGGGAACTCAAAAACCACATCGCTCCCACTCGGGATGCTGAGACTCCCAGCGGCGCTGCAGAACAGGGTCCCAAGCCCGTCTGTGAGTTCCCGAGACTGTAAGTCTTTACAGGAATAGAAAGCCCTATCTCCATGAGAGCAGGTGCTGGTTTCAAACCGCTGACCTTGTGGATTGCAGCCTGACTCCACACTACTACCCGGAGACCAGAAGAACTAGATGGTGCCCGACCCCCACTCCCAACTGCTAAGACCACATCAGTAGGTCCTGGACCCAGTGGGAGAAAAAGGTGGACCAACAACTTAGTCATCAGAGAGACCAGAATTACCGGTAAGGTGGACACTAGTGGGACCCCGAGCCTCTGGCCCTCAGCCCCCACCCCCCAACTGAACACACTCCCACAGCCCGATTTTCAGCCAAGTGGAAACAGGCGCCCCCCAACGGGCACAGGAGTACTAGAAAGGTCCACCTGCCTTAGGACCATCAACTATTTGACGGCCAGAGAGCAGCAGCTTCCCAAAGTCAAGGTCCAGAGGACCCAGAGAGAAGGATGGTCGGACACAAGCAGCACAGGGAGGAAGCAAGTGGTACACGGAGCACCCAGTGTCTGGCTGCTGACCTGGTCAGTCACCCGTCACCTCATTCTCAGGAAGACAAAGTTCAAGAGAAACAACCTGACCAGCTCACATGAAAAACCACTGCTACCACGGGGAGGGGAGGGGGGGCGGCGGAGCTTGTGCCATCAGCACCCGGAGTCTGAGAGCAGCCCCCACGGGTTCTGAGGACTGGAGAGTGGCAGCTTCCCTCCACCCTGGCCGCCCGGCTCACCGTGGTCTAACTTGTTGGCTTTGACGATCTTCACAGCGTAGTCAGAGATGCTGGAACACTCGATCTGGGTGCCGGGGAAAAGATAGGGTGATGACACCCCCACCACCATTCTGCTAGCATCCCCCCTTTCCCTCCAAGCCACCCGGGCTGTGCAGACTCACCCCAATGACCTTGCGGGCGCCAGCCTTGGCAGCGAACATGCAGAGGATGCCGGTGCCGGAGCCCACATCCAGCACCACCTTGTCCTTGAAGAGGTGCCGGTTGTGGAACATGGAGTTCCGGTAGGTGAGGGTGCGGACCTCGTCCTTCAGCATCTCCTGGTGTGGGGGGGAGCAAACAAAGACCAGACTGTCCGGCAAGGGAAGATGAAATGCCGTGCCCTGAAACCCAGGCAAAACGTCCTCCAGTCCAAAATACGTGAAATTCCCCGCCCTCCCACAGCAGCCCCCAAGCTGGCCACCAGAGGGCGGCAGAGACCAGCACTCCAGGCCCTGAGGTCAGGCCCCCAAGCTGCTATTCCAGAGGCCTCCAGCAGAGCACAGGACCAGCTCCGTCTCCAAGGCAACGGCCGGCCCGGAGAGGACACAACTCTGGGCGTGAGACCTCACCTTAGGGTGCACAAGTGTGGTAGAGGTGGGGTGAGGGAGACACCTGCCCTCGGCCTCCCCGGTACAGTCCCACTCACCTCATGGATGCCGAAGTGGGCATAGGAGTCGAAATAGTAGTCCTTGGACGTCATGTCCTCGGCGTTAGGCTTCTCACTGCTCTCTGCCTGGCCACAGGAGACCTGGGAGGGGTCGAGGGGGCAGGGGGTCACATCCAGGGGCTCTGCGCAGCCCCACAACCTCCAGCTCCCTACTTCTCCCCAGAGCCTGGGGCCTCTCCAGAAGGCGTGGCAGGGCAGCCTCACTGCCCCGCCTTTGCCATCTCAGCCCCAGCACGGAGAACCCCAAGCCACGTCAGAGCAGCCCGCTGTCCTCTGCCACCCACCCCCCAGAGCACCCTCCAAGGGGCCGGTCGATACCTCCGCCATGCCTACCATCTCTCCAGTCTCTGACCCGTCTAGCTCAGCCTACAGCTGGGGAGGGGGGGAGGGGACGGCAAAGCAGATACAGGGCAGGAGGGGCCGGGGGGAGGGGGGGGGGCTGGAAACGGAGTTAAGGAAGTAGCCACAATGTTGAGGGAGGGTCAGGGGAAGGCTACACTCCTGTAGGGAGCTGTTCTAGGTGTTCTTGGGGCAGACTGGTTTGCAGTGGTAAGGGTGCAGGTTAGACTGCTAGAGAGGGGCTGGTGGGGGTGAGGGGGCAAGCTGACTAAGATGGGGGCAAGGAAGGGTCTCACAAAAGGATATTTACTTCTTCAAGAGGCGGCTGGAGGCTCATCCCATTAGCCAAGGTGGCTACAAAATTCTAGGAGAAAGTACAGGGAGAAAGGGTTAGAGAGACTGGGGGAAAGGGGGGGGGCTGGGGGGGGCAGACACTCCCTGCCACCTCCTTTTTCTTGGTGGGGGATGGGGACTGTGTGAAGAAGGGCTGTTTCAGAAAGGAGTCAGAAAAAGGGATGGAGGGAAGGAGTCGTCCTATCCCAGTAGAGGCTGGAGAGATGGCGGCCCACCCCTATGCTGCCCCCTCTGGCCAGGCTGCGTGCACACTCGCGAGCACGCATGCACGCACACAGGACGAGGAGCCAGCCCCCACGGGGCACACAGGCACCGCCAGCTGTCACCCGCCCCACTCTAATACCCCCCAGATCAGGTAACCACTTCCGGTCACACATTCCTGCGTTGGGGTGCCAGGAATAGCTGGGGGCGGAATGGAGGGAGGCTGGCAGGCAAGGTATGACCCCTGGGCAACAGCCACCTTGGCACATGATAACCCGCCTCGTGGCCCACAGGCTCCCCCACCAGAGCTGGCCCCTCCAGTCCCTGGGAGTCGGCGGAGCAACCCTTTTGACACCCATCCCTTTTCAGGACTCTGAAGTGAGGGTGGGGGTGCACACTGGCTGGGTCAGCCTCCAGGAGGAGCCAGACTCCAGGGCTCCTGGTCAATCGCCCACCCCAAGGCCCAAAGCCCGCCTCTCTCCCCACCCCCTTCAAGGTGTGGGGCAAAGTGCCAAGGGGGGTGGGGCCATTGGAGCTAAGCCCAGTGGCAGGCATCTTGGAAAACGGCCGTCCACCCCAGGGACCGCTACAGGGCCGGGGTCTGGCCACTCCATCGGATAGCAACGCTTCCAGATGGATGCGCACCCCCATGCCCCCCCGCCCCCATCCCTCTCCCAGGCTGGCCAGGGGGCCTTCAAAGGCAGCTGGTCACACCGGACAAGCCTGGTCCAGGCGAAGACGGCGGTCTAGAACCTGGAAATCGCAGGGCTCTGCCCCACACCCGAGAAAGAGGGGGGAGGGGGGCTTCCAGTAAGGGGCAATGATGCCCCATCCGGAGCTCCTCCCCAGGGTTTTCGTGCCCCCTTCAGCCCACGGTGGCTTTGGGACACGCCCCTTGAAGCAGGCGGCCCCCCTACACACACACAGCTGGCCACAAGAGGGTGCCCGGCTCCCTCGCCGAAGGACAGGCCTTCATCCAAGATGCTCCCCACCGCAGCGGGAGGTCACGGGGGCACCCCCCGTGGTACCCCGCTGTCAGCCCCACCCCGCCCGCTGAGCTGAGGCGGGGAGGGCAGGAAACAGGGGACGGGGAGCAGGCCTGACCCTTCCCCTTCTGTACATGCCAACCCCAGAGGACGCAAAATCGGGAGCAGAGGCCCTGTACGCGCCCTCCGCACTGGGGCTGTACAAACGAGGGTGGGTGGGCCGGAGGGGGGATGCGCTGAGAGATCATCTAGGGGGGGACCGGGGGCGAGGCCCAGCTGACCCCCACCCCCGGGGTAGGTCCCGGTCCCCAGGGGCCAGGCCTAAAGGCCCTTCGACGGCGGGTCAGAGCCAGCTCCCCGCCCCCCCCGGCGCCCCTCCCCCGGCTGGGGGCGGGGCCTTTGTCCCGCACGTGGAGCCCGCGGGCATCCGGGCTCGGCACACCCCCTCCCCACCACCGGGCCGCGGCCACGTGGGGGCCCGGCCGGAAGCGCCCCCGGCCCGCCGGCACGGAGGGAGGGGCGGCGGGGCCTGGGGGTGGGCGCGCTAGGGAACCCCCCCCTCACACCTCAGACGGTAGCCTCGGGCCCCGGGCGTGCGGCGCCCGCTCCACGCGGCTGGGTGGCTCCGGCCCCGGGGCGCCCACTCGGAGCCCCTTCCTCACAACGGAGACACACCACACGGGCCGCCCCCCGCCCACCCCCCGGGCTTCCTCCCGACCGCGGCGGCGGCGGCGCTCCCGGCTCTCACCTCCATGATGCAGTTCGCGGCCTCGGCTGCCGCCATCTTCACCCGCAGCTAGTCCTCCTTTGGCCGCCGAGACCCCCCCTTTCTCCCCGCTCCCCCGGGACCGCCTTATACCGGAGGGTCCACGGCCCGCCCACCGCAACTCCGCCCGGAGATCTTATTGGCAGTGGAGGCGGCCCGTCTGGAAACGTCGTTGTGCCAATGGGCAGCATGGACATCCATCAATGCTTAGCGGCCCTCCCAGGGCTAGCGCGCAGGGCCCCGCCCCCTCAGGTCGAACGGGATGGGGAAGGCGGCCCGTCGATCGCGAGAAGCACGGACGGTGATTGGGTGGAGCCGACCAAGAGGTCCCGCCCCTTCCCCCGGCCCAGCACCGCCTCGAAGCTTCCCGGCGGGCCCCGCGCCTAGCGGACATCTTATAACAGAGCTGCCCATCAGCGGCTGGGCCCGCCTCCCGCCGCTGCCATTAGTCCGTCGGGAGGGTGACGTCATGGAGTCAGCCCTCGCCAGCCTCGAGAAGAACGCAGTGATTGGTCTCCGAGGAGAAAGGCGGGCGGGACGATGGGCCCCAACGATTGGCTTAAAGGAACTGTCATTCATCTTGCCCACTGCGGAGTCTCCCTACCTTAGAGGGGGCGTTTTGGGGGAATGAGGGATCTTGGACCCATTTACAGGGGGGCGATGGGAGGGGGGGCGGAAATAAAGCAGGGCCGGAGGCTTGTATGGGCTCTCGAATCTAGTCTGACGTCAAATCATCCATAGCCTTAACGTTCTAAGTATTTAAAATTCAACCACTCCTCTCAAGCCCTTTGGCCTCGACCCAAGCTCAACCCAAAGCTGGGGGACAGCCTTTGTCAAACTCCTATGCATCCCTCAAAACCCAGCTTAGATGCCACTCGCTACTCTCCCCAATCCACGTTTCTCGCCCTTCTCTTGTCCAGTAGCCTGTTAATCACTCCGGGCCTCTTGCCCAGGCTGTGCAGTGAGTTACACGTTGGGCTGCTAACCACAAGGACTGCAGTTCGAAACCACCAGTGACTCAGAAGGGAGCGAGAGAGGCCTTCTAATGGTCCTAAAGATTGACAGCCTTGGGAACTCAACAAGGCTGTCTCATAGGATCGCTATCATTCGGGATTGATTCCACAGCAGGGAACTGTCTGCCCAGGCGGTGGTCCCTAACATTCCTTCCTCTCTGCCCAACTTCTAGCTACCTGAGATTTCCAATACCACATTTACTGATCCACATGATGACAACAAGGGTTTAAAATCAGGAAAAAATATACATAAAAATAAAATCAGAAACAAAATAATAGTAATTTAAATTATCAAGGGTTTATGAGGGAGGGGGGAGCGGGGAGGGAGGGGGAAAATGAGGAGCTGAAACCAAGGGCTGATACCAAGTAGAAAGGAAATGTTTTCTGAATGATGATGGTAACAAATGTACAGATGTGCTCGACACAATGGATGGATGGATGGATTATGATAAGAGTTGTATGAGCCCCCAACAAAATGATTTTTTAAAAATCAGATGAAATGATGTGTGCAGCCGGTTTGGATTCAAATTTAAAGTGGATGGAAAGCACAGAGATGAGAAATCAGACAGGTTATGTACCATTCTCCAGAAAGCACTCACCCAATAAATATTTCACTGAAACATAAAATCAGGAAAACTGTGCACCGGGGTTGTAGCCACTCACCACACTTATTCAATCTGTATGCTGAGCAAATCACCCGAGAAGCTGGAATGTGTGAAGAAGCGTGTGGCATCCGGATTGGAGGAAGGCTTATCAACAACCTTCGGTGTGCAGAGGACGCAGCCTTGCCTTCAGGCAGCGAGGAGGACTTGAAGTACTTGCTGATGAAGAACAAGGATTTGTTTCCCCCTATGGATTACGACTCATCATAAAAAAACTGAAACCTCTCACACCTCCACCAATAGGTAACATCACCCTCAATGGAGAAAAGGTTGAAGTTGTCCAGCGTTTCCTCTTGCTCCACAATCAATGCTCATGGAAGCAGCCGGCAAGAGATGCAGTGAGGAATTGCATTGGTTGAATCTGCTGCAGGAGACCTCTTGAAGGTACTGAAAACCCAGGGTGTCCCTGCGAGGACTAAGGACTTGGCCTGACCCAAGCCATGGTGCTGTAAATCACCCCAGATGCATGTGGAAGAGGACCGCTGAAGAATCCATGCTGGCAAAGTATTGACAGCACCGTGGACTGTCAAAAGAACCACAGATATGTTAGGTTTCTCGAGTGGGAAATACCTCGGTTCCTGGCTTCGCAAGAGAAAGAATTCACGCCAAAGCCTGGTTTGTGATCCAAGCAGGTTTTGATCAAAGAAAGAAGTTTCAGGTGGTACAGTCACTGGACACAGAAAACCTCGTGGGACTGTACATGGTAGCTGGAGGCCGGAGAGACCACAGCCGAACGGAAGGGCGAGGATGACCAAAAGGGCCAGAGGCTCTTGAGCTCCCACTATTTGGGGCTTTTAGCTGAGAGGCATGGGCCAATGTATTGGTTGATTCCATTGGCCAAATTAAGCCCACCTGGCTCAAGCTGGAATTGGCACATGCCCCTTAGCCTTTATGTCTGGTTAAGCCTTGCCTGGTTCTCTTCCAACCTCCTGTAGGAGGCATGGAGAGGGACACACACACACACACACACACACACACACACACACACACAGTCCCTGTTTCTAGCGATCTAACAAGTCTACCTTGGAAGAAGTACAGCCAGGGATGGTGGGACTTCGCTTCATGTACTTTGGCTGGATCCCCAAACTGGGACAGCCCCCTAGTCTCGGCCAGGAAGGGGTTGAGACCCACAGGCTGAGAACCACTATTCTTTCTTTTTTTCTTCCCCAAATCATTTTATTGGGGGCTC